AATTTTAAAAATTAAAAAAATTAAAAAATTAAAAAATATATCCACATGTATATATATATATATCAATATATATACATGTATATACATGTATATACATGTATATATATGACATATGAACATATATACAAACATATCTTAATGTGAATAAAATTAATATATATATATATATATATATATATATTTGCTTATATATCCATATATATATGGGTATATGTTTATATATATATATATATTCATATTGAGATGTGTGTGTATTTATGTATATATGTATACATATATTGAAATATATCTTCTGTTTGATTGGAGATCTTGGATTGGTGGTTAGGGGGTTGTATTTTTCTTGAGGATCCATTGAAACTTAAATATTAATATTACGCTATTTCAGGTTGTGACGCCCAAATGTAATTAAGAAAATTAAGAGGTGTATTGGACCAAAGTTTCATGAATTTTCTCGTTATAAAATTCCAAACTACAAGGGATAATCGGAATGTAGAGACTATTAAAGTTTCTTCCGAGAGTAATCCAATTCCCTGGAGCCATAGATATTCTTTTGAACATATCATTTATGTATATTTTAAGTTTTTTAATAACAATTGTTGTTTTATTATTATTGAAAATTGCTTTAATATGATTTCTAGTTTTATATGGAATATAAATTTGAATACAGTAATTAATCTCAAAACAAATAAAAATACACTAACATGTAAAGTTTATAATTTTTCATATATATAAATTGAAGTTGGATTCTCAAAGCGAGAAATGAGTTTTACAGATGCACACAAAACCGATGCACTTCTATTCCGAACCCGAACCGATACTGAAACGTCTACCTCTATACAAAATTTCCATACAGTGATTTAGTGTTCGATATAAGGTAAAAAAATAAATACAGTATATATATGAGGATTTTTTTTTGATAAGGTTATATATGAGGATATTTGATAATCTAGAGATTATATGTATTTCTATATCGAATAGTAATAAATCGAGACTTGACCCACAATCTCTGCAAATTTAAAAATATTGTCGCGTAATTTTCTTTTTGAAATGGTACCGTAATTGTTATTGAGCTACGTATATGAATCCATGCAACGGAATACGATAAAATCACGTGAAGTTAAGAGTTACTTGAGATCATTAAAATCCCGCGAGAAAATTAAACCGGGGATGGGGCCATTGGCCATTGGGCCCACCCAATGCCGAACCGCGAAAATCCTGGAGTTTCAAAAACATCGCCTTCTGCATTATTTATTGAATTACTAATTTAGCCCTAATACATATATATACTCACTCATATATGCATATATACATCTCATTTTTCCTTGAAGACCCATTAAAGTTTTGAGAAATTGCAATGGAGCTTCTACTTTTGAGATATTAAATAATTGGAAAACATATAAACATGTTTTTTTTTTCCTATTAGAAGTCAAACCGTTCAATCATAACGATAAATAATGGATTATTTTTCTTATAATCTATTTTTTTTACTGATGTCTAGATGCTATTATAACCATGAATACTTGTCATGGAGGTTAAAAGTTTGAAGTTTTGGATTTTGGATTTTTCTTTTGTTATTTTTATTTTTTTTAAATTCAATATATATAGATGATATTAATTTTTCATATTTATTAAAAATAATTATTCTAAATAAATATTTTATTCTATTTAGTTTTGAAAATTTTCAATAATTTAGTTATTAAAATTTTATCAGATGACGATTAGATATAATTATCATTTAATTTAATTTTGTGAACTCATACATAATTATTGTATATACTCTTTTAGAAATAGTTCATTTTATTCACGAACATATTTCGGGATTTCAACACGTGGGCCCATGCGAGAAAGCTCCACGGGAATAGCGGAATTAACTCGGTGCTTGTTCAAATTGATGGAGCAGGGG